ACAGCGACGTCAGACGTAATAAAAGTGGAGGTCGCACTTCGCATGGTGAATGTTACATGCTTCCCGTATCTACGACCGTATCCTACGGACGACAAGACCCTGATGGATTCAGAAAGCGATCGCTCGACTGTATACGTGCCGAGATTCCTGAGTGAGCCTTGTCAAGTTCACCGACAGGAGTATACCAGGTCTGGAGCGGATGACACACAGAATCCCTATTTGAGCCCGGTACAAAGGAGCGATTATGATGCTGGATTTTCCGGACCACCAATCCTCAGATTGCACCCAGGCTGACCACACCGCACAGGTCCGTGCCCTTCTCTACCCGTTGTCTGTTTCGGTGTTCACTGCTGATTTTCGCGGGCAGTTCGATTGGATGAGAACATTCCCACACCATTCTAGGTGGCTTCCTCAGTTCACCGGACACTTCCATTTTCCAACCCTAGTTTTGTATCATGTCCGAACTGTCATTCACATTGTGTCGCGTGTACCGTGTAGATGAACTGGTGCGTTGCATAGTTTTGTTTTGTATATCTATTTCTTGAACAAGTTCATGCATTGATCAACATTTCAACTTGTTTTGGATTCGTGTTAACCCGGAGGGATCGATAGTTATTCCTGACAGATTCTACTCTAGTGTCTACCAGGTGGAAAATTCGTGTTGTGTGCAAGATACCCCATGTCAATTAGCGAATACTGTCCGTTGATATGTATATTTCCGGGCGCACCGATCGCGATGCAGGCACACGTTTCCGAAACCGCGTTGATTACCTTTTACAGGTATCGCGCTGATTGAACGTTTCTAGCGGGAATATGTCTAGGAACAAACATGGGTAACTAACTTTTATCCCAAAACCCTTGTTTGTGCTGTGTCTATATGACAGCACCGTTTTCGACTGGTTTCAAGTTTGTCTCTTCGGTATGTAGACGCTGTCGACAGACTCTGTGGTGGGTTGTAGGACGCTCGTAGCACAGTTCGAATAACAAGTCTTTCTGGAATCGCGCGACAAATCGCCACAGATTTCTAATGCTTC